ATCAGGAAGGCGGGCACCCACTGATATGATTTTTAGTTCTTTGAAGTCCTGGGCATTTCATATCTGCAGGTCTGCAGCAGTCCAGAATGGTCAGTGGTCATCTTCTGAAGATCATGCTTAGTGAAGAGAGGAGGGCTTTGGGGGCATCTGAACCTCACAGGCAGATGAAGGCTTCCCCTCTCACCACAAGAAGCTACAGGTGCCTATTAAGATCTGAATGGGCTCTTTGGAGCTGAGGTGTGTAGAATGACTCAGTAAGGAAAGGAGTCTGTACAGATAACACAGGGGGAAGTCAGCTCAGTCTCATTTCTGGGCTCACATGAGAGCTGCTACCTCCATGCAGGATGTCATGGACTACGAGACACTGAAGTAGCAATTGGGGTAGCTGTGTTAGAAATGGTTGACACAGACTCAGAGCTTGGTAGCCTGGTTCTTCCATCCCGGTGCCTATACCCTGGCCAGACTGACGGACTCACCTGGCAACACCCCTTTAATATCGCTCTCGGGGCTCATATGGTTTTTCTGGGTGAAGTGCAGGATCAGCTTCTTGGCAGACTCAAACTGCTGGGTGGCCATCAGCCAACGCAGAGACTCTGGGAAGATCCTGTAAAGAGACAAGAGAAGCAGTGGACGCCTTCTTTTTCAGTGGGACACACCAGGGCTTCACAGCAGGGCTGGGCCGGGCCTGATCATAGGCTGTCAGTCAGGCGGGTTTATGAGATTGCAAGGTAACGGCAGACTGCAGTCATAGGAAAAGTTTATCATTTCATTTTCGAACATGCAAAAAATAACGTTTTTTAAAATATGAACAACTTTTTCCCACCCAAGTCAAGAAACCAGTATATACCTTTTAAGATACCCATGGATTCCCAAAGAATAGAGAAATAATTTATGGACAGGTTGCTTTCATTACATTTTGTCAGACATATGAAAAAACAAATATGAATAAAATGATTTTAAGTGCAAAAAATTACTCCACATGCTATCAATCTGATGGTTATTCTTCTCCATTTTCAAACATCTAAAGGCTTACTTTTTCTCCCAGCGTTTTCTACAAAAGGCTCTGATTTTCTTTTTTGGGAAGCTGCTAACTGCACATTTATATCAACACTGGTGCTACACAGCAGTGGTTCTTAAGTTTTACTAGCAACAGAATCCTTTTTAAAGATGAACCGTTGTAGGGAGCACCAGTAGAAGACATCAGACTATTTTCTCTTAATATGACTGCATATAATAGTTTACATCTATGATAATAATTCATAAGCTAATTAAAGAGAACAATGTGGGTGGTTGGAGCCGAGGTCAGTAAACTTTCATAGTAAATATTTTTAATTTTGTGGGCCACAATGTCTCTGTTGTGACCTTCCAACTTTGTTATGTGACACATGTATCCTACACACTGCCCTCCAGTTACTTCTGATCCACGGCCACACTAGAGGACGGAGTAGAACTGCTCCACAGGGACTCTGGCAGTGTGCTCCACAGGGACTGCTCCACAGGGACTCTCTCGTAAGCAGCCAGTCTCATTTTCCTCCAGCCATTCAGGATGGCCTTGAATTACTCCAGGATCTTGGAAGAGTGAGCAGTAGTGGTAAATTTCACCATCACAATCATAACATCGAATCACTGCTTTCCACTTCTCTTCCCTCTTTGAACAAAGATTACGTTTCCCTTTGCTTAGTAATATATCTTATGGAAACAACCAGGTAGGGCCTGAAAGAGCTAGGTGATGTGTTTGAGATGGTCTGATCTGAATGTGAATTCACACAGCAAGACCTCGGACTTGAGGAGGAGTTGAAGCTCTCCTGAACAGCTGCAGTTGAGGGAAAAGACAGGTACAGACAGGTGCACATAGGAGCCCCAAAAGGAAAGTCACACCAATGTTTCAAAATTATAGTTTTATTTATTTTTCAAATACATAAAGTTAACATTTCTTTTAGTACCCTCTCATTTTTAAATTTTAGTTTTATATAACTTAAACAGAAATATTTAGGAAATAACATCAAATATTATATGGATAATGACTTCTTGCTTTATGATTGCTGCATTAGTCTGGGTTGACTGGAGAAACAAATCCAGAGACACTCATATATATGTGAGAGAACTTTATATCAAAAAGTAATTATACATCAGTAAAACATCCCAGCACAGTCAGATCAAGTCCATAAGTTCATTATTAGCCCATATGTCTGATATTAGTCCACGGATTCCTCTTCAGACTCATGCAGCACATGCACTGATGCCGAATGCAGGAAGATCACAGGCAGGGGAATGGAAAGTCCTCTGGGTCCAATGGCAGTGGTTACATCTCCAGGGCTCTAACTGCCATCAGCATGGCTCTGTGTGGCTTATCAACAGTAATGTGAAACAGACAAGAGAGAGTGTGTCCTGTCTCCAGGGAGGAAGAGAGGAAAACTCCCAGAATTCTCAGAAGGCCATGATCACACACAGAGGAATCACTGGCTATGACCTGATTGACAGGCCAGAGTCCACTCCTTTGCTCAAGTTGCCAGGAGATTATGTAACTGCCACACTTGTCCTATCTTTTTTTCGGGGGGGGGAGGGTATCATTTTATTGGGATCTCTTACGGATATCATAACATTCCGCAGTTCAATGACATCAAGCAGTATTGTACAATTGGTGCCACAACCAGTATCAAAGCATTTTCTTTCTTCTTGTTTCCCAGATCCCCTTAAAAGACACTGTTTTGATTGATTGGGCTTGTTGTTTATGAAGGAGCCCTAATGAGCATAGACAGTATTACTAAGAGAACTTGTCTGCAGGCATCCAGTGAAGACAGGTTTACGCATTTTGTATAGAATACGCCTGAGCATGTGTGACCTGGTACGCTAGCATACATACTTTATTTTATATATTCTTATGTAGAATTTTATTTTTATACTTAAGAAAGTATTGGTTTAATGAAAAATGATGGGGCTATATTCCTGGTTCATTAATTTTAATTATTAAAGTATTATGAGCTGACAGCCTGCATTACTGATTCTTTGGTACTCTCTTGGGACTTGCTTTGTGGCATTAAATGTGATAAATCATTGTAAACCTTCTGTTTGTGCAGGAAAGGGTTATTACTACACACAGGATTCTACATATAGCTAATAAGTCATATGTAGTCTTTATGTTGGTAAAACCATTTTCTCCATTTTAATTTGCCTGCCATAAGAGGTATAGGGAAAAGTCGGTTTATCCGCTACTCTGATTATTTTAGGCACTGTGTTAGTCCTGGTAGACGAGATAAACAAATACAGGGGGAGTTTTATATAAAAGAACACTTGTATATTGAGAAAACATCCCAGCCCAGATCAAGTCCATAAGTCTGGTATTAGCCCCTATGTCTGATACCGTACCATTCTATAAATTCCTCTTCAGACTCACGCAACACATGCAATGACATTGAATGCAGGAATATCACAGGCCAATGGGTGGAAAGTCTTATGGATTCAGTGGTGGTGGAAGCATCTCAGTACTGGCATGGGTCTCCATGTGGCTCCTCCAGCTCCAGGGCTCTGGCTCCCTCAGCATAGCTCCATGTGGCTTGTCAGTAGGCAGATGAAGCAGAGAGACAGTATGTGTCCCACCTCTAGGGAGGAAGGCAGAAGTTCCCGGAATCCTTAGGAGAAGGCCATGCCCACACAGAGGCATGATTGGCTATGACCTGGTCGACAGGCTAGATTCCACTGCTATAACCTATTTAACAAGTTGACATGAAATTATGTAACTACCCTAGGCACCAATTTGGAAACACACTCTCTCAACCATGCTGTACTATGTGCAAACTCCATGGTGAATGATGGCAGGGCTTTGGAGCTGAACAGTCGTGCTTCACTCAGCAGCACTCAGGCCTGAGGAGAAACTTCCCTAACTCAGTGTGCCACCCTGTGTATCACCTCACAGAGTGTAGGAACTGCCATCTCACGGCTGTCCCTTTGCAAAGCAGCAGATCCTGCTATGGTAGAGTACTTGCTTGTGGTCTCTGGACAAGCACGTGGCTTGTCCTGGATAGGTGTTTGATGTAGAATATGAATGGAAATGCACAATCTTCACTCTTCGTTTGGTGCCAGAGCTGGGCTGCTCCGTTCTTGAGCAGGGTCACATTTACAAGGAGCTCTAAAAGACCAACTTGAGGGCAGTTGTAGTTTGGTGGTAAAATTCACATCTTCTATACAGGAGACACAGATTAGATTTCTGGCCACTGTACTTCAATGGGATCTACTACTTGTCACTGGAGCATTGATGTTGAACAAGTTTTCGTGAAGCTTTCAGATTAAGATGGACTAGAAAGAAAGACCTGGTATCTACTTCCAAAAATCAGGGCATGAAAATTTGATGGCTCACAGTAATTCTATCCACAACCAACCATGCACGAGGATAGTGCAGGTATAGCAGTGTTTCATTGCATTGTACATGGGCTGTCCTCATTTGTGGCTGACTTGACGGCAGCTGACCGCAACAACTACAGATTATTTAGTACTCAGTATTTCAAATACAAACAGGTTCACACATGGTAGACAAGTTTCAGCAGAACTTCCAAGAAAGAGCTGGTGATTTATTTGTGAAAAAACAAAACACACTTGTCTATTGAAAGCCTTAGGAATAGCAACCAAATGTTGGCTTGAACCTTGACAATGCAACATACTGGCACGAAGCAGTCAACTAACAGAGAGGTCTGCGAGGCCCGGCCAGCCCCTATCCCTGTCTCGCCAAGCGTTGAGGATGATAAACTCGCTCAGAGCAGCAAATGCACACAGAGGACCATAGGGTAGGTCCCACCACAAGACACAGCATCCCCTTATTGACCCACAGTGCTGGGGGGAGGGGAGGGGCAGCATTATAGACACAGTGCAGGAATTGTATCTGGCCTGACTCACACGCCTGACACCAGGGCGTAAGAAGATGGGAGCACAACAGAGCAGCAAGGGGAGCAAAGCAACAAAGTGCCCGAGGAATTCTGAAAACAGACTTCAGACTCTAGGGCAGGGCTTAGCACTGCATCAGACCCGATCGGAAAACATTCATAAGGGTCTGTAGACAGACCTGGAACTATTCATAGGCTATTTTTTTTCATGTCTATCTATATAAGATAGGCAGGATAAACAATTCTGAGGCAAAAACAATGGACCAATGGTTACAGGACAGGGGAGTGGAGGAGGTGGGAAAAAAGGAGGGTGGCGCCAACAAACCCGGGGACAAGGGAACAAGAGATCTGAAATCTATGGTGAGGAGGGCATAACATGCCTGGTGGGGTTCCATCAAGTGCAGTGTAGCCAAGAGGAAGCACTGAGAGTTGAAAGAAGGTTAGATATGATAGTTGGACTGGAGGAAAGTAAAAGAAAATAGAGGAAAGAACTAGGAGGCAAAAGAGGTAAGTTTATACCTAGGTATGGACATATGTAAATATATTAATATATAATGATAGGGATCTAGGTCTATGTACATATATTTATAGGCTAAGTATTATGGTAGCAGACAGACATTGGGTCTTTACTCAGTCCTTCCTTAATGCAAGAACACTTTGTTTAATAACCTGGTATTCCATGATGCTCACAATCTAACACGATCGCTGAAGACAAAATGGCTGCTTACGC